CTCTCTCTCTCTCTCTCTCTCTCTCTCTCTCTCTCTCTCTCTCTCTCTCTCTCTCTCTCTCTCTCTCTCTCTCTCTCTCTCTCTCTCTGTGTGTCCTCCCTTGTCGTTGAACCGAGCGTTGAAACATCACCGTGTGAGGCAGCCCATGAATGCAAATGCCGAGTGGTACCTCTCTCGTAACCTCTCCCTCTCTCGCCTTGCTCCCCCGATCCCGACATCGTCCATTCCTCCTCCCTCCTCCTCTATCCCGACTCCCATCCCATCCCGACCTCATCCCGACCTCTCTCCCTCCCTGATCCCGACCTCTCCCTCCTCTGTTCGCGTCTCCCATCCCGACCTCCCGACTTAATCCCGACCTCTCCCTCACCTCCCCGTCCTGACCTCCCGTCCCATGCCTAGACTCCTCCTCCCCCCTCCTCTATCTCGACTCCCATCCCATCCCGACCTCATCTCGACCTCTTCCGCCCCCCCCCCACCTTCCCTTCCTTCCCGTCCCGATCTCTCTCCCCCTCTCCTTCCTTCCCCCGACATCGTCCCAACTCTCCCTCCCTCATCCCGACCTCTCCCTCCTCTGTTCGTGTCTCCCATCCCGACCTCTTGGTCCCGACCTCCCATCCCGACCTCCCCGTCCCGACCTCTCCCTCTCTCCCCTTGCTCCCCCGATCCCGACATCGTCGCGAGTCGTCTCCCATGCCTAGATTCCTCCTCTCTCCTCTTCTATCCCGACTCCCATCCCATCCCGACCTCATCCCGACCTTTTCCTTCTCCCTTTCCTTCCCCGACTTCCTTCCCCCGACATCGTCCCAACCCATCTCCCATCCCGACCTCCCGACTTGATCCCGACCTCTCTCTCACCTCCCCGTCCCGACCTCTCTTCCCCTCTCCCCTTCCTCCCCTGACCTTGCCCTATACCTAGATTCCTCCTCCCTCCTCGTCTATCCCAACTCCCATCCCGACCTTCTTCCATGCCTAGATTCCTCCTCCCTCCTCCTCTATCCCAACTCCCTTCCCATCCCGACCTCATCCCAACCTCTTCCTTCTCCCTTTCCTTCCCCGACTTCCTTCCCGCGACATCATCCCAACCCGTCTCCCATCCCAACCTCCTGATATGATCCCGACCTTTCCCTTCTCCGTTCCCGTCCCCCATCCCGACCTCCCTGCCCCGACCTCTCCCCCTGTACCCTTTCTCCCCCGAGCTTGCACGTCCAAAAAAAAAAAAAAAAAAAAAAACCGGGAAA